TTCTCCCGTGGAACAGCTGGTAGTTTCAAACTGCTGACCGAGAGATTAACAGCCCGATTCATAACCACTACACTACCAGAGCTCCTTTTTAATAGTAGTGGTCTCATATGATATTTGTTCTTTTGTGATTGATCATTCCACTTAGTATAATGTCTTCCATGTTAACTCTTGTTAAGAGTTGTTTGGAAGATGCATTGTCATTTTCTTCATGGTTGCATAATACTCCATTGTGTGTATGTATCAAAGTTTGTTTATCCATTCTTCCATTGATGAGTATTTAGGCTGTCTCTCTTTTTGTTATTGTGAATAGTGCTATGATGAACATAGATGTGCACAAATCTGTTCATGTCCTGGCTTATATATCTTGTGGCTGTATTCCAAGCAAGAGGGATTACTGGGTCATAAGGTTTTCTATTTCCAACTTTCTGAGGAAGCGCCAAACAGTTTTCCACAGTGATCGAACCATTTATGGCACGGTGGGATAAAGCACTGGACTGCAAGCTCGGTTTGAATCACAATAACAACAACTAGTGATGTAGGAGGGTTCCAGTTTCTCCAAACCATTTTCAGTATGATTGTTTTCTGTTCTTTTTTTAACTTCTCTGTTAATGCTGGTGTGAGATAATTTCTCATTATTTTTTGATTTGCAACTCTCTAATGGCTAATGCAAAGTCCCTGGTAGCGTAGTGTTTATGAATCGGGCTGCGAACCTTAAGGTCAGCAGTTCCAAACTACCAGCTGCTTCACGGGAGAAAGATGAGGCTTTCTATTCCCATCAAGATTTACAGCCTTGGAACCCCTGTCCAGGTTCGCTATAAGTCGGAATCGACTCGACGGCACTTAACAACAACAATGGCTAATGGAGTCCTGGTGTGGCGCTGTGGGTTAATGCGCCAGACTGCAAAGCCATTTGAACTGTAAGGTCGGTGGTACAAACTCATCAGCTGCTCCTCGGAAACCCTATACAGGGTCGCTATGGGTCAGTACCGACTCGACGGCACTTCACAACAACAACAATGGCTAATGAAGGAGCTCTGGTAGCATAGTGGTTATGAATCGGGCTGCTAACCTCAAGGTTGGCAGTTCAAAACTACCAGCCATTTTGCGGGAGAAAGATGAGGGTTTCTGCTCCTGTAAAGATTTACAGCCTCGGAAACCCTGTACAGGGTCGCTGTGAGTCGGAACCAACTCCATGGTACTTAACTACAACAGTGGCTGGCTACCTGAATATCTTCTTTGGTTAAGTGTCTGTTCATGTCCTGTGCCCATTTTATAATTGGGTTGTTTGTCTTTTTCTTGTAGAGGTGTAGTTTTCTATAAATTTTAGATATTAGTCTCTTTTCTGATATGTCATTAATTTTTTTTTTCCAGTCTGTGGACTCCCTTTTTACGCTTTGGCAAAATCTTTTGATTCACAAAAGTTTCTAATTTTTAGGATGTCTCAGTCATTGATTTTTGTCTTCTATTGTTAGTACATTTTTTATCATGTTTGATAGTGTATCACAACATGTATTAAAACCTCTGAGTTTGTCCTTATTTGTTCATGGATGATCTTTATGGTTCTAGGTTTTATATTTAGGTCTTTAATCCCTGTTAAGTTTGTTTTTGTATATGGTGTGAGATATGGGTATTGTTTCATTCTTCTGCAAATGGATTTCCAGTTTTACTAGCATTATTTGTTGAAGAAATGATCTCTTCCCTATTTAATGTGTATAGGCCCTTTGTTAAAGATCAGTTGATTTTATGTGGATGGATTTACTTCTGGGTTCCCAATTCTGTTCCATTGATGTAACTTTCATTGTACCCAGTACCTAACTGTTTTGAGCACTCTGGCTGCGGAGTAAAATTTGAGATAAGGGAGCAAGAGGCCTCCCACTTTGTTCCACTTCTTAAAGCAGTGTTTTGCTTTTCTGAGGTCTCTTCCTTTCTGTGTAAAGTTCGTAATAGTTTTTTCCATCTCTTTAAAGAGTGTGTTGGAGTCCTGGTGTGGTGCTGTGGAATAAGGCATTGGACCTCAAGGTCGGTAGTTCAAACTCACCAGCTGCTCCTTGGAAATCCTGTACAGGGTCCCTGTGAGTCAACGGCACTGAATAACAACAACAAAGAGTGATACTGGGATCTGGATTGGAATTGCATTTTACTTGTAGATTGCTTTGGGTAGTATTGACATTTTCATAATGTTAAGTCTTCCTGTCCATGAGCATGACATATTCTTGTATTTTTATAAGTCTCTTTTTGGTTTCTTGTAATAGTTTTGTAGTTTTCTTTGTATATGTCTTTTGTTTATCTGGTTAGAGTTATTCCTAAGGATTTCCTGTTTTCTTATCCATTCTGCTACTGTCTGTCTCTTGACTAGTATATTTAATCCATTGATGGTCAGTATTATTATTGATAGGTGTGAATTTATTGTCGTTATTTTGGTTTGTGGTTTTTTTTTGTTTTGTTTTGTTTTGTTTTGTGGTACTGTGGGTTTCGCATGTTTTCCTGTGTGGATTTCACTTTTTGTGCTTTTTCTTGTCAGTTTATTCATAGTTTCAATGTTTACAAAATCTTTATGGATTTTCCTTTTCGTGATTTGTTGTAAAGATGTATTTTCTTTGAGGTTACCCTGTAGTTTAACTTCTTTCCCAATTTAAAACAGGCTGTTTTATATTGAATTCTATTTCCTTACCATTTGGAGTTCTGTAGCTATACTTTTTCCCTCTTTGTTGCTTTATAGTTTTCTTCTTCATAGATCTGTGATTCACATCTGTGATTTCCTATTTTTAAGTCTTGTAGTTTTGTTTTCTCTGGTTACTTCTATGCTGTTGTAAATGCCATTGAGTGTGTTCTGACTCATAGTGACCCTGTATAGGGTTTCCAAGGAACAGCTGGTGGGTTTCAGCTGTTGACCTTGTGGTTCGCAGTCCAGTGCTGATCCTACACCACCATACCAGGAGTCCGTGTGCTTCTATATCTGGATTAACTTATGGGTATTGTTGAGTATTTCAAGCTCCTGTTTCTGTCTACTATTGTTGGTTCTCAGTCCAAAGGACTCCCTTTAGTGTTTTTTTGTAGAGTTGACTTGGTTTTTATAAATTTCCTGTAATCTCTATCTCGAAATGTTTTAATTTTGCCATCATATTTGAGGGACAGTTTTTGTTGGGTATATGATTCTTGGTTGACAGTTGTTTTCTTGTAGAGGTCCGTATATGTCTTCCTCAATGCCTTCTTTCCTGCATGCTGTCTGCTGAGTACTCAGCTTTATCTTACTGGCTTTCCTTCTTTGTAGGTAACATTTCATTATCCTGAGCTGCTTCCGGATTCTTTCCTTGTCTTTGATTTTGGAGAGCTTGATTATGATATGTCTTGGTGATTTTCTTTTAGTGTCTGTCCTGTTTGGAGTTTGTTCAGCTTCTTTAATACTTATCTTCTAATCTTTCATGTCCATAGTTGACATGGTTCACACAGTTGAAAGCCTTTGTATAATCAGTAAAGCACAGGCAAAGATCTTTCTGGTATTCTTTGCTTTCAGCTAAGATCCATCTGACGTCAGCAGTGATATCCCTCATTCTATGTCCTTGTCTGAATTTGGCTTGAGCCTTTGGCTCCTCGATGTCAGTGTACCATTGTAGCCATTTTTGAATTATCTTTAGCAAAATCTTACTTGTGTGTAATATTAATAATATTGTCTGATGATTTTCACATTCCATTGGGTCACCCGTCTTTGGAATGGGCACAAATATGGATCTTTTCCGATCAGTTTACCAGTTATCTGTCTTCCAATTTCTTGGCACAGAAGTGAGTGAATGCC